TGTAAGAGAATGAAACTGGATCACTGTCTAACCCCACACACAAAAGTAAGCTCGAAATGGATCAAAGATCTGAATGTAAGTCATGAAACCATAAAACTCTTAGAAAAAAATATAGGCAAAAATCTCTTGGACATAAACATGAGCAACTTCTTCATGAACATATCCCCCCGGGCAAGGGAAACAAAAGCAAAGATGAACAAGTGGGACTATATCAAGCTGAAAAGCTTCCGTACAGCAAAGGACAACATCAGTAGAACAAAAAGGCATCCCACAGTATGGGAGAATATATTCATAAATGACAGATCTGATAAAGGATTGACATCCAAAATAGATAAAGAGCTCATGCACCTCAACAAACAAAAGCAAATAATCCAATGAAAAATGGGCAGAGGATCTGAACAGACAGTTCTCCAAAGAAGAAATTCAGATGGCCAACAGGCACATGAAAAGATGCTCCACATCGCTAGTCATCAGAGAAATGCAAATTAAAACCACAGTGAGGTATCACCTCACACCAGTAAGGATCTCCACCATCCAAAAGACAAACAACAACAAATGTTGGCGAGGGTGTGGAGAAAGGGGAACCCTCCTACACTGCTGGTGGGAATGTAAATTAGTTCAACCATTGTGGAAAGCAGTATGGAGGTTCCTCAAAAAACTCAAAATAGAAATACCATTTGACCCAGGAATTCCATTCCTGAGAATTTACCCTAAGAATGTAGCACTCCAGTTTGAAAAAGACAGATGCACCCCTATGTTTATCGCAGCACTATTTACAATAGCCAAAAAACGGAAGCAACCTAAGTGTCCATCAGTAGATGAATGGATAAAGAAGATGTGGTACATATGCACAATGGAATATTACTCAGCCATAAGAAGAAAACACATCCTTCCATTTGCAACAACATGGATGGAGCTAGAGGGTATTATGCTCAGTGAAATAAGCCGGGTGGAGAAAGACAAGTATCGAAGGATTTCACTCTGTGGAGTATGAGAACAAAGCAAAAACGGAAGGAACAAGACAGCAGCAGAATCGCAGAACCCAAGAATGGACTGACAGTTACCAAAGGGAAAGGGACTGGGGAGGATGGGTGGGAAGGGAGGGATAATGGGGTGGGGGGAGAAAGGGGGCCTTACGATTAGCATGTATAATGTGTAGGGGGGGCACGGGGAGGGCTGCGCAGCACAGAGAAGACACGTAGTGACTCCCTAGCATCTTACTACGCTGATGGACAGAGACTGTAATGGGGTAAAGGGGGTACTTGATAATGGGGGGAGTCTAGTAACCACAATGTTGCTCATGTAATTGCCTATTAATGATACCAAAAATAATTTTTTTAAATTATCTGGCTCCGTCAACTGCCGCCAATTCTCAAGCCGCTCGTGCAGCAGACCAGGGAGCTGAGCCAGAGGAAACCCACAGACCTTCCCAAGAGCACGCGGTGGGGAACAGAGGCCAGCAGCCAGGAGCCCCCCAGCACCTCCACCTTGGCACCTATTTCACTGCTTGACGTAAATCCCCATTTTTCATAAAATATGTCAAGTTTTAAGTAGAGAAAGATCCTAATGGTGGCAGGGGGTCCCAAAGTGGTCCCCAGCCCTTCCTGCCCGTGTGAGTGGTGGCCCGGCTCCAGGGAGCCCGTGCCCCGACTCCGGGCTGCCCGCCGCCCTCAGATGGAGCCCAGGAGCCTGCTGACCGACCGCCCAGGTCTGGGCCCTAGAGACAACATGGAAAAAGCACAGGGAATCGACTCAACTTTAAAAGCAGCACACAGTTCCCACTGCCTTCAGGTTGGGTAAAGAGAAGTGAAGATGTGCTCATAGGACGATTCAGAACCAACCAGGTGGCCCAGAATTGCACTTCCTGTGGCCTGTTACCCAAGAGGTGACCTGGGGATGTCCCTCCTGGTGCCACAGCCCTGAGGCCCAGGCCAGCCCCCGCCACCTCCTGTGGCCTCATGGAGCCACACCCCAGCTGCCCCAGCACCTCCAGAGCAGCTCAGAGGGGCAGCAGGCCCCCCAGGCCCAGCTCCCCAAGGAGCCCCTGGCCTTCCCACGGCAGAGACCTCCAGCGCAGGCAGCCGTACAGTCAGGCACGGAAGTAGGAAGGCCTGGGGGCCTCCTTAGGAACGGCCTGATGTTCAACTTAGAGAAAGACGTGCAGCTGTGACCAGTGATCCCCACAGTCCTTAGAGGCAGGCGCTCTGGTCCCCACTTTACATGTGAGAGAAAGAGAGGATGGCATCCCCCAAGCCCACACAGCCAGCGAGCGGCTGGCCCTGGCACTCTATAAGCCCCCTGACTGACAGCATCGACGGGTTTAGGGGTGTAGTCCACCGACACCCTGCCGGCTGCCACGCTCAGTCGTTGACACCTGAAGACGCCCCAGGAACAGCTTCGTTGCTAAGGGCCCCCTGGGAGACCCGCCGCCCGCAGCCCTGAGCCACCGCATCCGTTCGCCGGGAAGCCGGGGTCCTCCAAAGAGCCTGCAGGGCTGCTGGCTGCCCCCTCCGCCTCCGCCTCTCCTGTTCTCTGCATCCCCACCCTCTCCAAGAGGATGTATGTGGCCCCCAGGGTGCACTGCCCGGGGCCGGGGCCAAGGGCTGTCAGGGCAGGGGGGCCAGCCAGACACAGCTCCTGAGCTCAGGGCCATGGTCGGAGGGAACAGGGGAGGCGGGGAGGCAGACATCAGCCCCAATGCCTGGGACGCAGAGGAAACCCGAACAGAAAATGTAAGTAAGAGCCTTGAGGCAGGGTGGAGACAGGAGAAGGCCTGGCAGCCAGGGGGTCCATGAGAGGCATCACGAGGGCATCAGGGCTGCCCTCCCCACAGTGCCCACGACCGGGTGGTGCCACCACCACGTGGGGCAGCTCATGTCCCCCTGCCTCCGCAGCAGGGCCTCTGCGACTCCCGTTCAGCTGCAGGGCGTCTGTGCCTCCTGTCCCATGACGCTGCTCACCCAATCCGTCTGGAGCAGCATGTGCCCCCCAGCACTCTGTGGGATCACCCCAGCAACGCACAGCAACCCCTGAGCTGGAGGGCCGCCCACCAATGAGCAGGGAAGGGGAGTGACCGCCAGGACCTGCCTACCCCAGGCAGCACCGGCTGGCGGCCACGTCTTGCTGGAGCTGGAGACATGCCCCATCTGAGGGCAGGGCCACGTGGGACACAGCCAGGCTTTGTGGTGGGGTCTCCTCTCAGCTCAAACGACACGCCAACTCAGTTTCGTCAACACTGAATCCTGGAAACCCTTAACTCCCCCAGCCCTCCCTCCGTAAGCACGGGGTGTCCCCATCCAGAAAGGACTTCCACTTTGGAATCCACTTGCAGCCCCCGTGAGACCCCTTACACTCCACAGTCATAAAGGGCGTCATCGGTGAGGCCAGCAATCTCTCTGTAACAGGCAGTCTTTGGTCCACAGAAGAACGGTCCCCTAACTGCCAGGACCATGGGCCAGGGGATCCAGGGCGAGGACCCCATGCCCCCTCTCCTCAGTCCCCGGCTGCCCCTCCTGGGCGGACACCCCTGCTGCGGCCCAGCACCGCTAGCTGTCCCTCAGGACTGGGCGGGCATTCTTAGTGGCCATCCCGCAGACACAGACGGTCCCTCTCAGGGCCGAGCTGCAAGAGCACCAAGCCGTGGCCGTCGCCATCTGTGGGTCCAGCCCTGGCTTCCTCCATCTGTCCCTGAGGAAAACAGCGGACAGAGGGTGCCAGACAGGCCGGGACCAGATGACACCCTGGCTGTGCCCCCAGCCCTCCTGGGGCGAACCCTCTGATATCTCCAGTCCTCAGTTTCCTCATCTGCAAAATGAGCAAAATTTTTACCTCTAAAATTCCAGGTGGTGTATTCATCCCAACCAGGATATGCATACTTAATATCCAGAGTTTTTCTATTTCCATAAAACCACAGCTTCTGCCAATGTGGGGGGTCCATAGCTCTGGAGCCCTCATGCCCCCCCTAATTGCTTGTCCTTCTTCGGCTTCCAGCTCAGTAGCCTGCCCCACGCCAGCCCGACGGGTGCCTGTTTCACAGCACGTTAGGGCTCCGAGAGAGACCCTGCAGCTGCCCGAGCTGCACCTGAGAGACACAGCCCGGAGCACCACCTGCAGCATCCACGGCTGACACGGCTGGGACCACCTTCCCCTCGGACTGCAGAGCCCCGGGGATTGACGGTCCCGTGGATTCCCGGCCCAGTGACTTCTGAGAATGGCAGCCAGTTCTGACTGGGAAGGTTTGTATTTTGATCAGCATCAAATACAACCTCAAGGGGTGGGCAGCTGGGGACGGTGCTGCCAGCTCACTCCTGGGGTCTCCCTCAGGTTAGAGGGCTGCTTAGTGGGGAGGTGAGAGGGGGGGAAGGAGCCTGGGCCCCGGGGCCAGGGGAGGCCACAGTCAAGGGCGACCCACCAGGACGCAAACTCTAGACCCTGCAGCCCTCACTGCCACAAAGGCCGGCTGGCCTGGCTCATCCTGTGGGCTTGTTAGGGATGGAGTTTGTCCTTGGTCCTTGGCCACAACAAGGAACTGACGGGCAGAGACACAGGAACAAAGCAGAGTGGACATTTTACGGGAATACACTCCCAGGGAGGGGCAGTCCAGGGTCAAGGCAGAGAGGGCCTGAACTTCTTGGGGGGCGGGTTGGGGGGAGTGCCTCTTTGTCAGGCCCCAGCTGGGGGCACCTCTTTGATTGACAGCTCTAGTCACACACCCAGTCCTGCTCCCACAATGCACACAGAGAAGCCCATGGGGTGGGGAGTGGGAGGAGACACAGCCCGGACACAGAATCGGTATTTCATTTTAGTAAGATTATGAAGACGGGTGGCTTGGGAGGTTCTGAGATCTGTTCGATGGCGCCAGCATTGTGATCAGGTTGAAACTGGTCTGGCCTGGTCCCCAAGGGCCAGGAAGTCACCTCCCTGCAAAGCCTTGTGTCCTCCAGCGGGACCCCTCCCTGGGCGGTCTTTCCTGGAACCTTATCTTCCACATCCCCGGCTGCTCACGTCTGTGAAGCAGGGTCAGCAGCAGCAGCAGGGGCCGGGACTGCGCACGCACCCTGAGCCAGAGGCCCACCGGCAGGCCACCTGTCTCCTGTACATCTCCATCAAGGGCATCCTTGCTCGGACACTGCGGGGCGATGACCCCCCAGATGCTTGGCTCCTCCGTGGTGAGCGGCTACAGGGGAGGCAGGGAGACGGGGAGCAGCCTCGGGGCAGGTCCGAGCAGTGAGACCCTCCTCCCTCCCTAAGGTGCCAAAGGCCCAGACTGCTGCCCCCTCTCTGCCTGCAGCCTCAGGAATGCCTCCACGGGCTCCCGGCCTCCCGGCCCAGCGTGAGGCTGTGTGGCACCGCCAGAGTGTCAGACAAGGGGTTCCCCGGCAGGCGCGTGCCAACACCCGGGGCCAGGCCCTGGGGGTAGCTGTCTGCCAGCTGAGCAGGAGCTCAGTGAATCTTCACTGACTGACAGAATGGAAACGAGAGTGATAGAAAACAGAATAAATCTAGTATCTGCCAAATTTCTGAGCACGGATTTTGAGGGCTTTAAAGCTGGCCAACACCGCCACCTGGTGATGGATTCTGCCCTTAACGCTCCTTCCTGTTCTGATCCGGGAACCTAGTTTGTGGTCTCCGGGCTAAATCAGCTGGAACACGATCCGTTCCTTAGAGTAGCGACACCGCCAAGGAAGCCCAGGGGCATCTCCCGAATAACAAGGCCCCTTGAATACTGTGGGTCTCTCTAGTGAACGGACCGGTACAGACTGGCTGCGTCCCGGGTGGTACGGCGGTCCTGAACCCAAGGGACGGACGCTGGTTAAGGAGATGAGAGATGGCAGAGAGAGTCGATCAAGGGGTGGACTGGGTATGTGAAGCGATTCAAATGACTTGCTTTAAATGCTGATAAATTGGGCAACGATGAGGCCTTAGTCCATTTGGGAAGCTCTAACGAAGTGCCATAAACGGGGCTGGTTCATGATTCATGGTGATTCACAGGTGGCCATTGTCTCAGCGTGTCCCCGAGATATAAAGAGCTCTCGGGGGCCTCCCATACCCACCCTCATGACCTGATCACCTCCCAAAGGCCCCGCCTCCTGCTGCCATCACACGGGGTCAGGATCTCAGCATGCATGTTGTGGGGGGCACGGACATTCCACAGCACCTTGGCTGAGGAGGCCTCCTGAGGAGCCCCTGGCAGGTGGCAGGAGACCTGTGGGCTTGCCGTGGCTCAGGGAGGCCAGGTGTGAGCTCCGGGCCACCACCAGGGCCCGGCTGGGGTGAGAGACATCCTGCCCGGGAAGGGCAGCTGTGCACCGTCCATGTCTGGGTGGGGAGTGCTGAGGGCACCCTGTGATGCTAGAGACCTACAGGAACATGCTTCATTACATATGTTTAGGATTTAAGGATGGTTCTTAGAAAACTAAAAATAGAGTATGGAGCTATGAAACCTTGGTGAAGGAAACGGAACAAACCTGGTTAGGAATGGATGGGAGTAAACAAGGCTGGTAAGGTGGAAAATATATAATAAGATCAAGGGATGTGTCCAAACAGCATGTCGGTTATAGCTACGTGTAAATCAGACTCAGGATATAGGAAATCTGGAAAAGAAGATGAAAGACATGGGCTGTGCAATACACACACGTGTGCCCACGCACGCACTCAGGAGATAATGGGAAGAGGTGATACTCAACAACCGAAAAGCTGCAAATTTTCCAGAATTAATGAAAGACCGTATTCAGATTCAGAAAGTACACAGATTCTAAGCCAGGTCAATAAAATGAAATCAACACCCACACACACCACAGACAGGTTAGGCGGCAGCCGGAGAGGAACATGGACGTGGTGAGCAGACCAACAGCTGGCGGGTGTGGGGACAGCTTCAGAGGATTGCAGGAAAATGACCGCCGAACGCGAAGGGTGGTCAGGGAAATCATCTTTTAAGAACAAGTACAAAATACATGTTCTGATAAACAAAAGTTAAGAGAGTCTTCCAGGCTAGACCCTCACTAAAGAATTACTTTAGGACGAAGAGAGATTATCCCCAAATGAAGACCAGAAATGCAGGAGGGAAAATGAGCAAGGAAGCCGTTACACCTGTGGGTGACCCTGAACCGTTGTGAGATCATAAGCCTGCAGAGGAAGGAGCGGGTGTCTGGTCTCCCTGCCTGGGCGTGGGGTCAGGAGCCGGGTCCGGGACCCCTGCAGAGGCGGGGGCAGGGTCACCTCTCCCTGCTTGGGAGTGGGGTCAGGAGTCGGCTCTGGGACCCCTGCAGAGGCAGGGGCAGGGGCCAGCTCTCCCCTCAGAACTGCGACGTCCTGTGTCGGCTCTGGGGCCCCTGAAGGAGCCTCTCCAGACGCAGGCCCTGGCTCCAGAGCCGGGGGACCCTGCCCTTGGTGTTGGCTGCAGCTCTGGAGCAGCTTCTGCAGGGGGCCCTGTGGCTGGAGGTGGACCGTCCCCAGGCTCTGGAGCTGCCCTGGCTCTGGCACCAGCACCCGGCTCCCGGGAAGGTCCAGGAGCGGGTTCCTGAGCCAGCACTCATCCCTGAGATGGCGCTGGAGCCGCAGGAGGACGAAAGGTCACCCCGAGCCCGCCTTTGCATGCACCGTTCCAGACACAGAACCATCCTGGAGCCTTCCAGACAAGCCCAGGCCGGGAACCCCCTCAGGGCGCCTCCCCGGCTGCATCCACCAGTGTGTGGGCTGAGGCCCAGCTTTGCTCCTGGCCCAACAGCAGTCTCCGGGGCTCCTCCCCGTGTGCCCAGCAACCCCACCAGGCCCTCTCATGCACCCACTGGGCCCTCGCACCCTTAGGCTTAGCTTCTATGGGCTCCAGGTCACCTGGGCTGGTTGGGGGAAGACGGACCCAGCGCTGCAGGTCTGAGCTGGGATGTAGAGTTGGACATAGACTTGGGCCAACTCTGCACAGGTGGCCTTCTCCGGGCATCTCCAGGCCCAGGTTTCGCAGACCCCTCTGGCCACACTCACCCTGGGCCAGCGCTGACCCTCCTCAGTAATGTGCCTCATGGGCCTTTCACTGGGGCCCAGGGACGAGTGTTCCCCAGCTCCACAGTCTTTCTCAGAGAGCCCTGCAAACACAGACCAGCACTGGACCACAGGCATCAGACCGTGCCAGGCCCACCTCCCTGCTTCTGCTCCTCCCAGATGGCCAGGGACCTGTGTCAGCACAGACCTCCCGGTTGAGATGACATCACCTCCAGGGATCGGGACAAACCTGAGGCAGAAGGACAGCCCAGCACCCCATGTCCCATCCAGCCTGCCTAGACCTCGGGTGTGGACAGGACCTGGCCACCAACCTTCTGACCCTCACCAGATACTCCTGCTCAGGGCAGCTCACTCCACAGGAACCCCCCTTGCACACACGTGCATGCACACACACACACACACACACATTCGGGAGGGGACACAGGGCAGTACAGGAGTGGTCAGAGTGGGGGCCTGGCCTGGCCTGGCCTGGGCCTCCCTGTGTTACTTTGGGCCCCTCTGGGCATGTGGCTGTAAGATCTGTGCCAAGACCTGACCCAATGTTGCAGCGCAGGAGGAGACGCTCACTGGGGCCTTTCCTGAGGCCACGGCCTCGGGACCCGGGGACACAGCAGGACAATATGGTGCTCATGGGAGCGTCTCCAGCCATCTGAGCTGGGAATGGCACTGCCCCTAGAAAGTCAGTAACCTGGGTTCCCAATTTCTGCTGGGCTCTAACGTCAGGGAAGTGGGGTCCCCTTACCTGGGCTTCCTGCTCAGGCAAGCCTCCCCAAGGAGCCCCTTGGCTGCTGGCCACTCCCCCACATCCTGGGCCCTGTCCAGGCCGTCACACCAACACATCCCCCGGCAGGCCGGGTGCCACCAGGGCCCCAGTTTGAGGACACAGAGCTGGGGTCAGACCCAGCTCCTCCTCGTAGCTGTGATGTGATCTCACAAGGCCTGTGCCTCTCGGGGCCTCCCCGGTGTCCCCATGCACACCAAGGGGTCACTGCAGCCCATCTTCCAGGAGGTCACCAGGTGTGCAGAGCTGTACATGCCTGGAGCCCCTCTGTCACACGTGGCTCGCGTGCAGACTCAGCAGTGGCAGCACAAAGTGGAGGGCTGGGGGGCCCCAGAGTGCAAATGAAATGGGCCTGGGTCTGCTCGGGGACTGGGGTCACCTGCCCTCCTGTCTGTTCCCAGTTCCCTGTGGCGCTGACAGACGCGGTCCCCTCAGACACACACACCTCCAGGGGCTCCGCCAGGCCCACACTCTCAGGGTGTGGGGGCAGCAGCAGGACGGCCCCAGGGTCCTCTCCTCCTGGTCCTCACCATCCCCCCCACTCCCCTGGAGGGCGGGTACACTTTGTGGCTGGGTCTAAGGAACAGCCAATGGCCAAGTGGGGGGGGGGTGTCACTTCCAAGACTGGCTATAAGACACCTGGCTTCTGCTGGACCCCTCTCTCCTGCGTTCTCTCTTTCTCTCAGAACAGCACTTTCTGTGGCTCCAGGGGCCACGTGAGGACCTCAGGAGCCACCTTGTCCCTCTTCGCTCGCATGTCCTGATGTCCAGGGCACCCCCGGGGCCTCCCCACCCAGCCAGGGCAGTGACCCAGATGCACATCCAGTGAGGGCCCATGGCTCCCACCAGAGTGTCTTGTCCTGGGTCCAGGGCTCTGCCACGTGCTGCAGCACCCAGGTCCCCAGCAGCCCAGGACATGGACACAGTGCGACATAGAGCACCCCGGGGAAGGTCCCGGCCGTGCAGCTACCTGGGCCCCGGGGCACCCCGCCATCAGCCTGGCATGCCTCCCCCACCACGGCCACGTGCAGCACCAGGGCTCCCACGCATCCAGTGTCCAGCTGCCAACTGCTCTGTGAACCTCAAATCTCCTGAGTCAGTGACCACCCCCACTCCAGCCAGGCGGGCTGCAGGCTGTGGGCCAGTGGGTTGGACATTTGGGGCCAAGACGGTCAGTGAATAAGCCCCTCCCTACTGTCCTGGTCCCCAGACTGTACCTCAGGGCCCAGCTGGGTGCATGTGTGGGTCAGGGGACCAGCAGGCGGCAGCAGAGTCCTGGCAGGGGGACAGTCAGTCTGTCCCTTCACTGTGGCTCTGCTGTGGCCAATGCCAGAGGCACCGCTGGCTCGGGGTGCAGCTGGCCAGGAGCTGGTGCCTCAGCTGGGGCTGAAGCTGGGCTGTCCCGGGCGGTAGTGGGAGAGCTGGTTCTAGAATTGGCTCTGGTTCTGAGGCCGAGTCTGTCTCCGGCCTCGCTGCCAATGGGGTGCAGGAGCTCGTGGTGGAAATGACTCTTGCCCTGGAGATGGCCCAGTGCTGGAGCTGGAGGAGCCTGGGCTCCGTCGCGGACGCCAGGGTGGGTGCTCGGAAGGTGCCGGTTCTGCTCCTCAGGTGCGCGAGCTCTGCAGCTGAGGCAGGGCCAGCTCTGGCCACACGGCCTGTGCAAGATCTTGTGCTGGAGATGGACAGGCTCTGCAGCCCCCGTTACTGGCCGAGGTGAGATGCTGTCCC